TGTTAATAATTATAATGAATGCAACCAATTATACGCACCTACTGAATAGAGAGAAATGTCCGGCTATGTGTCAATTGAAGGGGAGAGGAGGCATAACAGCCGACACGAGCTGATGCAGGCCATCTAGTGGCCAAAATGAGGGAGACGAGATCAGGTGATCGTCTCAGGTAGGGTCCGTTGGGTCCGGAACCGGGACCCGATCTGGAAGAGTAAAGTGGATAAATAGTGTTTTTTTTTGTAAATTTATATTGAGCGTCTCACCTTTGTTGTTTACATTTGCTTGTTGTTACAGCTGTTAGTGTTGTTCATTTGCTAGAAGTTCCGATTGTTTGTTGTTATCGATTATGTGGTTCATTTTGAATGGTGTTGTAGATGTACGTTTTGCTGCAGATGTTGTAGTTTTGTTGATATCGATTGTGCGGACTGCGGGCCAGGAATGGGACTACACCTAGAGAACCGCTGAGCCAGCCGGCGCAGCAAACCGAGAAACAAGCAGTTCCGTAAAAATTGTAAAAATTTGAAATGTAAAAATATTATTCAATTTAATAATAATAGGAATAATAAGAACAATAAAATGAATTGAATATGTCAAAAATAATAAAGATAATAATAAGAATAATCTTATGCATGGTCACACTAAAATGATTATGAAGTAAAAATTGTTAACCTATTCTTATGAACTTTCTGATATTCTGCTTGCTATCTTTAATTAAAATATTATCATTAACTTCTATTGTTTCGACGGTGTATGGTCCTTAATATACTGGATCTAATTCCTGCTTCATTTCTTAGCAATACCACTAACTATACAATGCATAGACATGTCAAACAGCGGAATAATCGGATACCGATAAATCGTCAACGACTGAGCCCCATGGGTGTCAGCGACCATTTTAGTGTGCCCAGACAAAGTAAGACTGCTGAGAGTGGCAGCCGAACGCCGGCCTCGAAAGCCGAACGTGTAGTATGTAGAGATTTTTTCTTCAATTGTGTGCTTTTTGTGCCTGTGGTGGCAAAAGGCACACACATTCAAATGCTCTATCATGTATTTCTTCGTCCAGTCAGGCATAATGAGAAGAATCTGGTATATTTATATTAATTAAAAACTTAAATGACCTAAATGATATATTTATATATTATATTTTACATTTTTTGTTTACTATGGGGACCAATTTTGCTTAAAATGAAAAAAAAAACTAAGTCGTATTTCTGCAAGGGTATTTCTTCGTCGGCTTGTCGAATAATTTAAAAAAAGACCAAAAATTGAAAATGTTCAATTTTTTCGACTTGCTACTTGTGCACACGCACACACATTTCTGACTTTTGCGGCCGCAAGCCTTCTTCTTATCATAGTTTTCTATAAGCCTTAGCCTATTATTAGTTGAAACAATAAGTAAAATATTGGATCCAAACGTCCCAATCGGTTTTGTCTGCTGAAATGTATGAGCGAATATATTCATTGAATGCTCTATGACTTCGTTCTATTGTGCCTAATGTCTGGTAGAAGTCTACAGTCTGCAGTAGAAGTGAGATTCTTGATCTTTATTTACTTGCACATGTCTGATATTACTTGATTCTTATACTCAGTTCCCATATCCGAAATGAACGTCTTCATTGGACCGTACTTAAGTATAAAATCTTCGAATATTGCTTTCTCTACAGTATTTGCACTTTTGTTTGCAATTGGTATGGCTCTTAAATATTTTGTTAAGTCACATATTAGTGTGACGATGTATTAATTGCCATATTCAGATTTTGATAGCGGACCAACGGTGTCCACTATCACTATGTCGAAAGCATATGTTGGTGTTTCTGGAGTAGCGCTACTCTCAATGATTTTAATATTTTATTGCCCATTCCTTTGAAAGTACCCATTGAAACTGATTCAAAGATCTTTTCATGCGGTGCCAAATTTCAAATCTTTGGAAGAATTCCATTAGTATACAAATCGTCAACATCTATTCTTGCTATAACTTTATTCCCTTGTTTTAATAAACATTTAGATTCAGTTATTCGCAAGGTCACTACTTTTCGTACTTCGTCATTGATAATGACTTCATGTACGTTGGGCTTAGATACATTTGTCAAAAGTTCTTTATTGTTAACTGTACAGTTTTTATTTTGTCTACTTTGTTGCCTGGTAGCACTAACCATACAATGCATTGACTTGTCAAACGTCGGAATAATCGGATACCGATAAATCGTCAACGACTGAGCCCCATGGGTGTCCGCGACCATTTTAGTGTGCCCAGACAAAGTAAGACTGCTGAGAGAGTCGAGGTGAACCGCACTTGCCGCTCGTTTGCACTTTGATATGGAAAAAATGCAAGTGATCTTTTAATGTATTTTTCGACATTGTAAACATTTTGGTTTAAAGGGTTTTATGGCAGGCTATTAACGATAAGAATGTGCAGCATGCGTCTGCATCCATATCAAAGTGCAAACGAGCGGCAAGTGCGGTTCACCTCGACTCGTTGCCTGTTCACACATGTGTGCCTTACGCGGCCGCAACCCCACCGTCGCACACTTTTGTGTGTGTGTGTCTGTGTGTAGAGCTCGAAATTCAGAAATGCCAAAAACTTCAAATTTGGTCAAATTTGCATCGGGCAGGCAGGCAGGCAACCAACACGCACACAAACGCATAAATGCTTCCATGCTTGGCAGGCCCAAAAAATTATTATGCACACATGCCAACGTTCAGGTACCCTTACCCTTACACCATGCATGGAAAATAGGAGTTTTGCACATGAACAGGCCAAACCCTTTAATTATGTCACCCAACTGCTTACTCGAAAGAGTGTGCGTGTGCACAAGTAGCAAGTCGAAAAAATTGAACATTTTCAATGTTTGGTCTTTTCTTAAATTATTCGACAAGCCGACGAAGAATTACCCTTGCAGAAGTACGACTTAGTTTTTTTTAATTTTAATCAAAATTGGTCCCCACAGTAATCAAAAAAATGTAAAATATATCATTTAGGTCATTTAAGTTTTTAATGAAAATAAATATATCAGATTCTTCTTATTATGCCTGACTGGACGAAGAAATACATGATAGAGCATTTGAATGTGTGTGCCTTTTGCCACCACAGGCACAAAGGGCACACAATTGAAGAAAAAATCTCTGGCTCGCGACAAACGCCGCGATCTACTTGTGCGCACATCCACACAACACAAACATATGTATGTTTGTAGATCTCGGGGTTTTTGAGAAGCTATGCAGGGAGAAGGAGATGTACACAAGTGCGCAAAGCAATAAGTGTGAGCGAGGCGCACTCTGCACACGCATATACACATATGTATGTATTTGGGCTGAAAAGATTTAATACTAACATACATATATTACGAAACAGCATCAGCCGCAGCAACGTTGTGCGCTGAGCGGGATGCGGCTTCATACTGAACGTTCGGCTTTCGAGGACGGCGTTCGGCCGCCACTCTCAGCAGTCTTACTTTGTCTGGGCACACTAAAATGGTATGGTTAGTGCTGGTAGTGACTTTCAGGACTTTGTTTTGAATATTCTTTAGTTCGCATATTGCCACAAAATTCTCTTTTCCCTTTAAGTACTTGACCGTAAAATCATATTCTTCTAATTCAAGTCTCATGCGTGTTAACTTTGAGCAAGGGTTTGTCATTAAAAATCAAAATGAAAGTGGTCTGTGATCCGTTTTTACTGTAAAATGTTTGCAATATATATATGGTCAAAAATGTGTTATTGCCCAATGAATAGCAGCCAACTCTTGTTCTGTGATGCATATGCTATTGGGAGTTGAATTCCATTATGGTTTTAAGTTAAAACCGCTCCACAAGCTTGTTTACTAGCATAAGTTATTATGCAAAACTCTTTGGAATGCGTTTTGGCATTCGTCTGTCCAATTGAAATGTACATTCTTTTTACATAATTTAGTAATGTGCCGTGAATAGTCGGCGAAGTTTTTAATAAAACGACGGTAGTAATTGCAAAATGCAACAAATCGTCTAGCGCTGTCCGCATCATGTGGGACTGGATAATTCTTGATGACGTCACATTTTTTATCATCTGGCAAGACTCCTTTATCAGTGCTTTTATGACCTAGAAAAGTCACTTCGTGCTTAAAAAATGAACATTTTTCTGGATGCAATTTTAAGTTGTATTTCCTATATATTTTAAAAACAACTGTTAAGTTTTTAAGCATATATTTTTCGGAACAACCTATTACCATTAAGTCATCCATATGAAGGAATGCTTAAAAAGGTTCAAGTCCAGAGAATGCTATGGTCATCATCCTCTGAAATGAGTTTGGCGCTATTTTTAAACCAAATGGCAATCGCGTAAAGCGATATGAACCATTGCTTGTTGAAAAAGATGTAATATTTCTTGAACTTTCTTCCAGTTCAATCTGATGGAAACCTGACCTTAAGTCAAGGCATGAGAAGTATTTGGCTCGACCCAATTGATCTAGGATGTCGTCAATTCTGGGGAGCGGAAATTTATAGGACAAAAGCTTTTGATTTATTTGACGATAGTCAATTACTCAATTTCCCAACTTGTTTTTGTATTTCGTCTACCTGGCTATGTGGACTTCGGTAATATTTTATATATATTGGTTTGTTGTCTTTTAGTCTAAATTTTTGCTTATAGAAGTTATGAGTGGTTATCGATTCGGTTTCTAGTCTGAATACGTCACTATATTTGGTGCATAACTCTACTAATTGTTTTTTGATTTGAGGCGTAAAATTGTTCTTTAATTGAGCTAAAACGATTTCGTTTCTATTTCCCTGAGTAGTTTGAACTAAATCATAGTTCGAAAGTGGTTCATATTCTAGTTTGTTTATGCCGACCAACTGGTCAGTATTAGTTGTATTTAATAAACGGACAAATGCATATTCGAATGTTGCTATTGTGTTTGCAATGTAAACACCATTTTTTATTTCTTGATTTTGTATTAATATACAGGCTTCTTTTGTGCTTATCTCAATTTTCCTTATGACTTGGGATCTTGCTGATAGAAATAATAAATTGTTACCAGAACTGTATGTTATTGGAACATAAATTGAAAAATTAAAGTTTTTGGGTCTAGGTATAAACCAATCTTCAGTTGGTTTTAAGTCTAACTGGTAATTGAATCGTTTTATAAAGTTAATGCATATAATTCCACCACATGTAATTGTGAAACTTGAATCTACTATATGAAAATCGTGTGGAATTATATAGTTGTCTGTTTGTAGCTCTATCGATGCTAGACCTTGGGACTTTATTACTCCCTGGCCCATGCCTTGGATACGTATTATTGTATCATTTTGGATGTCTTGATAAACATCGGAATTTGCTTCAAGAAGTGAAATATCTGCACCTGTGTCTACAAG